CGGTTTCGAATTTCCTTAATAGTTTAAACTTTACTTTACAGAGATCATATCTAGACCATTGTCATCAATATGGCCCATTAGTTTCAACAATGAAACATGTTGCCTCCATTTTTATCCGATTCCATTTATTGCCATTGCAATACATAACAAAAACAATATTTGTGTTCGTCAGAGAAAGAAATCACCCAAAGTATTGTTACCATAGATACGGGGTTTAAATAATCACTTTGCAATGCTTATTTACTGTATGTTGTCCGCCTGTGGTTTCAGACATTAACTCGCTAGACTACACAAGGGACTCTTTCATTGCTAATGCCTCATCCATTATCCATCTTAAAATTGTCAAGTACTTAATCATGGGGTGGTTTTATAGAGAGCAAAGTAAATACTTCCCCGTATGACGCTCCAGGCGCCGTGGAAACTTGCTTGGATTGCAAGTCCACGTCTAAACATTGGAATCTGGTCGGATCAACGTCCTCAATCAAAGAAATAAGCTAAGAGGGGGCGGGAAGGAAGCCGTCTTTTATACTCCTACTGACCTAGTTTACGTTTGTACTTGGCATATCACTCCTACTTGTGTCATTTTGGTCGCGAAATATTTTCTTAGATTTTTAAAGACGAAGGTGGTCGCCTTTCAAGAGAAAGAAAACAAATATCATCAATATTGTTTTTCTTTTATCCCACTCCGAAATCCTCCTCCACACATTCTCCTGGTCTGGTCTACGACCCGACAATGAACGCGAGGTTGTTGAGCGTGGGCGAGCACCTCTTTCACATAGAGGAGGGTGCAGCTCGCCCCAGGAAAATAATTTTAATAATATTACAAGCTCCAATTGTGACATCTGAATGAAGTATGATTCCTTCAAGATTTTTCCTCACTTCTGTATGTTTTCCTCTTCACAACCGATTCCTAAAAAAAGGGAAGCCTGTGTTTTCATGACCCATTGACTTGGCAACGTCCGATGAGATACATAGGTTCTTGTTTCGAGGGTAACCTCGTATCCCATAGCAACCGAAGAAGGCAAGTTCAACAACATGGCGGGCATCATCGTCTGAGAGGTGGTGATTTGTATTAAAGCTCTCGATTGTTTAGTCAAGATTGACCATGGGATAATGTTTCAGAAATTGAAACTTTGTGCGTCCGGAGGAAGACATGAATTAGCCTGTTAGTCACTTTTCTCTAAATCAATGATATGTGCAAAATGGAAAATGCAAGGCCACAAACTCTATTTCAGTTTCTATATGAAATGTAAACAATACAGTCCTAGATTTTCACGAGAGCTGGAATAAAGAAACACTATGAGGTTACGCACAGACATACGGAATGAAAATAAAAAGAGGAAATCACACATGATCGTGGCCATTATCGTAACCATGTCGAGAAGGAATACGAACAATATTGTCTTAATGGATACATAATCCTATTCCCTTTTATCGTTTGAATACAAATACATGTACAATACAGAATCATTATACTTGCACGATGTCGGAGTATGGAGCTCCAGATATCATTTCCTTAATGAGTGCCTGATGTAAAATGTGCATTAAATAAACGTAATTTGCACCATAATATATTTGCACCATGTATGACTGTATAGCTCATAAAAAGTGGTTTGTTATGTATGTGTGTCTGTTGATCACATTTTACACCAGGCATAAAAAAAAGAAGGGAATAAGCCACATTGCCACTGCCGCCATTGCCATTACCATGGTTACAATCAACATCATTTCTCTAACGATCCGTGCTGTTACGCCCACTCAGACTCTACCGATGTGATAGTGGTTATTCCCGTCATCACTCTTCGCCGTCAATGTTTTTCTTTCTCATTATACCACATATTTAGAGTCATTTATCCACCACATAAATCACTTAATAAGATAGTTATGATGGGTTTAACACCTGGAAAATTAAGTTTTGGGGGTATGTTTCATCACAATCCCTTCTTTCCCCCTCACCTAGATTTTGCAAGTCACTTGCAATACCTGTCAGAGCAGAGGAGATGTTGATGGTAATCAATGCATCTCCCAGGTTAACCGAAGGGCGCAAGGTTGCAGACAAAACGTCATCATGCAACGAAATAGATTGTGCTTAGGCAAGGCAAAGTGTTGAACTGTAAACGAAGTATATTGGAACGACGTGATTACAAGAACAAAACAAAAAAATACAAAAAAAGCGGAATATTTATGTAGTTTATTGACGTGAAGATGAACATCGTTGATTTTTGCATAGTTATTTACATCGATATTCAAATGCGTTTAATGTTATTTATCGTTATAAATCTCAGCATATACGGTGTATATTCTATTTCTTTGTTTCCTCGATGTATTTAATACTAAATTGTAAATAAAATACTGCTATGTTCTAAAAAATGTTATTTTTAAGGTTAATATTCATTTTGCTGGATTGTCTTGAACTGGACTGATTCAGTTTCACTCCATCCCCCTCTCGTATGATCCTCCTTTGTACATCTGAAACGAATCTAGACAGAGCTGCATCTTGTGTTACATGTTTTAGTTCCGAACCCAGGTACCTGAACACCAGTATAAGGATATACGTGCTGGGTGACGAGGTAGGTGTAGTCGGTTACTTGCCATATTTCATGTTATCTCACAAAATCATACGGCGACAGCAGACAAAACATGAATTTAGTAGCTGTCACTTCACTGAACTGTTTCAGTATTTTTTGTCATGAAGCCTTTGCTATATATCATGCCAGGCATAAATATGAAGGCCCTTAAGGGTTCTTAACGTTGCCTCGGTGTCACTCGGCAAAACTGTATGATAACATTTCCAATTTATGCTATGCGAACGTGTTACGTTTTGATTATTTATTATCAATTTCTTTTGCAAATGTTTGCGTTGAGTCAGCACACAAGAGGATTATTTGTACAATCATTCTTTCAGCAGCACTTGCCAATAATATTATATTACATTTCGGTTGTGTATCGAGAAGTTGATAAATGGAGGACGGGGCGGATTTCTTCCGATACCTGGATGGGGAGCTAGGGGTTGGAATGTCCCTCGATAGCCCCGTGTGTATACAATTTGTTTTCCGTTTTCTGGGCCTCCCGAATTGGGGGGGGGGGGGCGGCACAAAGTAAGCTATGCTGGATACGCCTCTACAACGTCTAACGAAGGGTGAGGAACACAAACAAAATATGAAATTATGATGCCCTCTCTCGCAAATGAGATCAAAAGGTAAATCAACATGCGTGGCCCCCCTTTTCTAGATGGGCAACTCTTGCTTGAAAAGATAATAGTAAATTCATTTTTTTTTAATCAGATGCCAGTTTTCATCCTTCAAATCCAATTCCCCCGAGGCACACCATTTATGACATCTACAATCAGACAGGCCGCCTGTATGTGCTTGGTTTGGGGGTTATACCGTGCCATGCACCTCACCGTTGATAGATTTAATTTTCAGTAAACTAGTCACCTTGGCGAGATGACCTTGTTTCAATTTATCATTTCAAAAGATAAAAATGTTCAAAGTTTTTGGCCGATAAATGATTTGGATTTCAATAAATTGTATTAAAAAAATTATGTGCAAACAAGTGTAGGTCATGGTATCTAAGAACACCTACTACCTGATCGGCCTAGCGGAAGGACGGCACGTTCTCTCTCTCTCTCTCTCTCTCTCTCTCTCTCTTACTCCCATACCACATTAAACGTTGGAATCTGACACCTCATTGCTAAATATTTTTAACCAAGAAATTTTAGTTCGAAAAAGCAATATCACCTTGGTATCTGCCAATTTCATACGTCTGTTTAGTCCTACATGCTTCGTTTGTTTGTTTGTTGTTTGTTTATCTTTTCTTTTTTCTTTTTTTGTTCTTCAAGGAGAGGCATTATCCTTAAGTTTTACTGCCGCTATTAAAGTTATGAGACGAGTTTTCTTAAACACATGATTGTAAACAACATATTGTTTACGAAATGGGGATGTAATCTCCATGGCGACATTTGTACGATGCGCGGTCGTTTCCGAACAACAAGGCCTATATTGATTCCATGAAAAGAATTTTGAAATACGATTTTGAATACGATATCTGCATGAATGCGTTCATCCTTGTTCGTGAGAAATCAGAAGTTTCGGAAGCCGCTTTAAAAAAGTGATTTTTGTTTTGTTTTGTTTTGTTTTATAATCAACATGATATTTTTATTTACAACGTGACTCTTGAGTTTTTAGTTTCTTTGTTCCATTGGCCATGATAATATTATATCCGGGGCAATATTCGAGTATAGTTTATGACCCGATATTATTTCTTATGATCGCAATACAAAAAAGGTCCTTGTTTTCATCACAACAACCATAGCCGTATTAAGCCTCTTGATCTTGAAGTTGAAAAACCCAAACCGGCGTTGTTTCTCTGAAAGAGTAAATTATCCCAGAAACTGATTTTCCGGCTGAAAGCGATTCGTGCTTATCGCCTGCTTCAGGTGGTAAGATTGGTGAGAAATGTTCCCATCGAATGTTGAGGTATAGCCAGTCTAGTCATAACATCGCATGGTCATGACCGTGGTAATCTGCCGTATGAACCGTTACTAAGAGACCAATCCATAAATCATTCTCATATGTCGTGTTCTCCCAAGAAGACAGATACACTTTCAAGCTGAAAGTTATGAACAACAAATCCTTTTCGGTTTTTCGATGATACGCCATAAAATTGCATTGTAAAAAAATTTCTTCCCCACTCTTTCATTTTAATGTCCGTCATCTTTTCCTTCCTATTTCCCTTCGGTCCTCGTTATTGATGATAATTTAACAACCTTTGAAACTAATACCAAATTTAATCACTACGCGTTATGCCTAATCCATCCTAGATAATTTGAGGGCTTGATTATAAAGTTGATTTACGAGTATAATATGTGTGAAATATAACCGAATGAAATGATTTTTCACTGTCATGCAAAACGTATTGATAAGATATTGATCATTTGATTATTATTATGCCCGACATATCACCGAACTGTTTTATTCTTCTCTTCCTTTCTTTTCTAGATGATGAAGGACGATCATGGAGGAGAGAGCTGGCTAAAAGGTGTCGATCTGAATATAGAGAATGTCGCTTTGATGTGAGAGGAAAACCACTTGGGAGGGTGTGCGGTTCAGACAATAAGACTTATAAAGACATTTGTAGAATGATGAAGGTAGCTTGTGAAAGGAGAAAACAAATTGACCTTATATATGACGGATCATGTAAAAGGAGGGACAAAGCGCCAAATAAAGGAATAACGTCAGGTAAGGATTCAAAGTTATTATGATTTTGACAAAGATTCGATCATTATGAGCCCTGCTACCATTGCAAAATTAAACAAGATTTGGAGAACGGAATGGCATAAGCTGGACGCTTGATCTGATAAAGTTACCAGCCTAATCTGAGGACCCAGACAAAACGAGTGTCCATTGTTTACTGGATATTAAAAGGTGTATTCACTGTCATGAGATAGACAAATATAAATGTGTATTAAAGTGGTTATGCTGTCTCGATCAATACATGCCCTGTGAAGCAGTCTCGTGGTTTATAAGAACCCATAATAGATCGGTTTACTACAAAATATTCAAATCGTATGCATTATTATTATTATTATTATTATTATTATTATACCTTTTAAACAAAGGGTGTTCTTGACAACGTGAATGTTTGCATGAGCTTGCCCGATATAGCAAAACATGATGTATGCAGACTGGATTCCAAGTATGGTAGTGCATTCAGTAATAACAGGTTAATGGAATAACTCGTCACTAGGTCCCCATAGGAAAGAAACATCCATACATTTGTATATGTTAGTAAACTGGTCTATTGAAATCTTTGTTGCACTCTTTGTACATTTCTCATATTATGGCTATGTGTGAGTCATCGCCTATTTTAATAGATCACAATGCATTTTTCAGTATTTTTAAGAAAGCAAAAAAAAAAAAAAAAAAACGTTTGAGTTCAGGTTTGCATTGGGTTCAGAAGTACGGTATATCATTCTCCTACGACCCATTACCAAAGTAAATCTGCCGTTGACTTTGCAATATGAGATTGAGCTGGGTAAGTGAAGAAGTTGATGTCTTCGCTTTCAAACACAAACCGGCTTTGAAGTCGAGTTTAATGGAAAGCCCGGCGGGTGTCTGCCAACATAAAATAGTGCGTCTTTGTATTAAGTCCATGGGTGATCTGAAATCATTTTCCTTAGATTACCAACAGGCATCAAACCAATTCTACAAATTGTCGAAAGTCTGAAGCTGTTAGGAAATTTTGGGTGGCAGAATAATGAACGATTGTCGAACTTGAAGCAAAGTTTTGAAACATGAAACAGTCTCGGTGATTGAAGAGACTGCTTCAAAGGTCGTGAAGGAGTCATCTGTCTGAAAATCAGATCCTGAACTTAGGATTTACTACTGTGAATAATCCAGTCATCTGTCAGCATCGATATAGTAGCTACCGATGTGAATGCTTTTCCCTTATTAGTAGACAAAATGGTATAAAACTTATTGATTCATGAATACCTATATAAATCAAATGTAAAGAACTCAAACAGGTCTTTCTATTGTAAACTTTCACCACAAAAGGGTTTGTTTGTCGTTAATTGCCATGTGGAGGAGATATGACAGTGGGATGATTTAAGTTTGTTTATGACTACATCATTCCATCGAGTCAGAGCCTTAGTTATATCATTACAGCCATAATCACAGGCGGATAGAATGAAAAGGTCACTAGCACTCTCACTCGCCATATCACATGGTACAGACTGACGTCATCACTTTAGCCAACGTCACGCCAAATCATCGTAACTCTTGAAAGTTTGAAGGGGGTTTATGTAGGTATGAACCCCGGAATTCCGCATTAAAACGAATCATGGGGAAGAACATGCAAACGATCTAGAAAATAAGCAGCTAGATTGAATGCACATTGTGAGAGAGGAAACCTTATTTCTGAAGTGCGGATATTAAAGTTCGTTGATCATAATATTGACACATGTGACTAAATCCATAAAGCATCCGATAATTAGGATCCGTGCATGTATTCGTTCGTCTACCTTGTTTGTGCCGAGTCCGTAATGATGCTGTGGCATGTATAGTTTTTTCTAACGCAATGTCATTACTTCAACTTATACAAGTGTAATAACGATAATCTATGCTGGCTAAAGGGATGGAAAAAATGGCGAACGAGAAAGAAAAAGCAAAACAATCAAAAGAAATAAATGAACTATAAGTTACTCCCCGTTCCAGAGAATCATAGAGAAATATAGAAAAAGTATTATTGAAAATTAAAGGATTTTTTTTTGAGCGCCTTTAATAGATCTTACGATTTAGACTGAAAATAAAGCGTTAACTTTGTAAATCCAGATGAGATCGAAAGATAAGGTGGTGACATTTGTTTCTAAGCCTGCCTTCTCCCTGGCAAAGATATATGCCATTAAATTTTTCGGAGACGCATGTTAAAATTGTTGGAAACGGAGGATAGATTTGAAATGAAGATGACGTCTATTGATGCTTTATACCCTTAATCTTCAATGTATCAAACTCGAGAAGAATGGACTGCGTGTGATGCGTTGATTTGCACCTGACCCCACACCAAGTGCGTTGCTGCTACTGAAAACATGCGGAGAGACATATCCTCTACCGCTTCCTGTACAGAGCTCCCTCTCCTCTCATCGGCCAAACACCACAATGACTATTCAGATTTCAGTTCTATCGAATTCCAGTAAATGGTTACTGGGATATGAAATGGATTCAGAGGAAATGGAACCTAACAACTGAAAACCAAATAACGGCATTCTGATTGGAAAATTCGATTTGAACATGGAGCACATCTCGTCAGTCGATGGAGAGTTCAAGTGTTGTCAACTATGCTGCACATTGAAAACCCACTCCCTTCGCATGACACAGTCAAAACTTTCATCCATTTCATGCTCTAAGGGAACTTGCAAACATTGATCAAAGAGATTCGAAAAAAAGTATCCCATAGAGACATACTAAATTTCTTGTCTTGTCATTCCAAAATAGATAGTAAAAACTGAACGCAGTACTCATCTACGACACTTCTTTTAAAACTATCAAGCTTTCACTTGGGAATCTATCCCCTCTTGTTCTTCGGTATCGCTTTTCGATATCTGTAACACTGTCCGATCTATCGGCGCGATCTCGTTGTCTCCTTCTTATTTCCCCATACATATTATAATTAGAAACTGATGTAAGGAACGCTAAAATATTTAACTCTCTACTTTATACTGTGATAAATATGACCGCGGCGCCAAATATTTTATGATAAAGCCAAAAGACAAGGTAGGTGACGTATACAAACCAGTGGGTAGCTAGACATGAAGTCATTTCTAAGTGTTACTTTTGGCCACAGAAGCGTTGTTCGCTCTCATTCATGGCGATGGAATTGGCTCATAAGAGGCTATTTGTAACTCGGAAGTTTACCATTTGAAAGTCATTAATCACAACCACGTCTAGCTTTACCCGGTCACATGACTGATTTCTCGTTAGATATCAACGTAAAATACAAAATATTTCCCCATTTTTATCCAAATTCATTAAGATGAATAATTTGCCATTACTAATGCATTTTTAGTATTACGTTTGTAATTGATCCTTACAATGTTTTATAAAATCAATTTCACAAAGCTTTTCATATTTTCAATTTCATAAGTACTACAGGATAAGTAATGCTTCTACAAAATAATACCCATAGTTTTGGATGGATCTAGGCATTATTTCTCATGTGTGTTTCTAAATTTCGTTTTGAATGTTTTTACATTATAACTTACAAGACTTTTTCAAGACCCTACATATAATTGCTTGCCTGTTTCTTTGACCGACTAAATATTAGTCTTCGTGCTTCCTTTATTTAAAGCCAACATGAAAAATACTTGATTGTAATTAAAAACGAAAATTTGTATTGTATCGTAAATGGTAGCAATTCAAATGGAAATTGTTATATCTAATATTCTGTATTCATGCCCATGAGATAAATAGTGGTTGTACGTTTCCCATCTTGTCTTCCCTGAAAAGTACACTCATTGAAAGTTTACTTTTGAAATCTTGGCCAGTCCTCAAAGTGCCAATTTGTTGAATCCACTTTTTCTATGCCAAAAATAAACCACTAATATGCCACTTTAACTCAAGCTGCCAAATCACGTCACTTATAGAGCCAGAGGTGAATACAGGACTACAAGTGATACAAACTGCCTAGATTGGAAACCGAGTCAAGGACATTTCATCAAAAGGGGGATATCCTTCAATTTTTATTAATACATACACGACTCCTCTTCTGACGAAGGAAAAAAGTTACGGTCATTGAGAATATACGTAGAGAGAACGGGTAAAGATCAAGCGGGAATGACATAGTTTTTGATGTATATAAGATTCTGAAAGTATTTTACAGTCGTAGTCTTATATATTCAGAGAGCACTGTAAAGATCCCCTTTAATTTCTTTAACTTAGTCGTAAACCTTTGAAACGACAATGTTTCCAAAAGAATCTGATTCTCATAACCGAAAAGGAAAGGAAAAATGAAAAGGACTTCGATGGGTATTGTGCTCTCAACAAAATCCATGTTAACTTTACTTCGTCGACATACAGTAGAGCCAATGTTCTGTCTGAACACATACAATAATGATACTAATTCTGCTAAAAAATTCCGATTTTTTTGGTCAACCTATTTTACCACAGATACATTAGACATTCAATTAATTTCCTTTCTGAAGTACATGTAGTTAGGTATCAACTTGCTAAACCAATGTCCATTATGGCATTATACTGATAATCCCCCCCCCCCCCCAAAGAGGGTATTCTGGAGGTGTATTTTACCCGATGATGTACATACAGGTGTAAAGTTACCACTGGGGTGTGTGATCCACGCCCTAATCTTCCTTTAACGTAGATCACGTGCGTAAGAAGAATGTGCTCATCTGCCCGCCATGTATTTGAATATGAATGACGCCATCATGGGAATGAAAAAAGCCCGAAGCCCCGTTCACACACGTCAAACAAATAGATAAATAAAATAAAAAAATTGTCGTGGAAATGAGTGGCACAAGAGGGGGTGGGTGTAATAAAAGCCTGCGTAACAAAGGCCTTTGTAATATCTTTGTGTTATTTGACGCACACCACGTTTGTGCCATTTTATTTCGCTGCTACCGCTTTTTTTTCAGGCGACGAACCATCTTGGTATAAATAACAATTCATTCACTTGGCTGTTAATCCAATATTTTGTGGCTCAGATGTCAGCCCCACACTATAAACGTCCTTTGAGAATTCATCAATCTACATTTCCCGCTCACTACCCAGGTGTATATCCTTGGGGTGATAATTATTGCAGGGCCCTATGGAAGATCAGTATTGGTGCTGATGAGGCTCCCCCGAGTAAACAAAATAACTATTATATTTTAACGTAGCGTTACCGATTTAGCTTGATCAGGAAATCACATGATACACAGGTCATTAATATTCACAAAAATGAACGTATTATAACAAAGACCCGAAATTTTCTGTTTCTGTTTCTTTCTTTTTGTCCATCAAGAAAACACTTTGTTTCCAAATAGTAGTTGGTTTTATTTATGGACATTACGTACCATGACCGTTTTGTCTTAGTAGTGACTGTGGAAGTAGCTTGTTTCCTTCTGTGCTGAGTAGGCGGGGGTGCGGTATGGGAACATTTTCTTTATCTACAAAGAGATATATATCATTGAATACTACTTGAGGCATTATTTGACTGTAACATACATTCCCATCGTAGTGCTGTGGGTTTATATGTGTGCGATTCTGATGGTATAACTAAAATAACAAAAAAATCATTGCAGTGTCAGTTGAAAATTATAATCTTTGTTTGGTGGCCGGATGCTCAATAAATGAATAATTAGTGCACGTTTTCAAATAGGTGTAGGCTGCATGTACCTTTGACGTCAGGAACCTGGGTATGAACCTCTCGAGGCCTAGCTTTGTCACTTGGTTTCCACTTTTGTCTTGTCAAATTAGAAGATGATGTTATAACGGTTATGTGATCGGTGAAAACATACTCACAAATCAATATGACATCGAGTGACTAATGGTGGTTGGGACAAAATGGGAGTAATCATACTGCTTGACACTGTTCTTCGAAGAACAGTAGCGTTATGGTTCTCTATTACCTTTGGAGCACTTGTGCGATTTATTTCATGCGGTTTGTATGTGTAATCGCTCCTAAATAGAAGGAAAGGAAATCGTTTATTCTATAAGTAGTCGCTACTACGTAGATTCCAGCAGGAGGGGGAAACCACCGAATTATGCCTCCCATTTTCAAGTGCTCCATTAGGACAAAATGCTTAAAGGGCTTATTACATTTTAACATGCTTGCTTAAAGGTTACTTCATCAATATTTGAAAAAAGGGTGCAATTATGTCCTAGACCTAGTTTTATGAAGACACAGTTACGGACCATTTTCATGCAATCTTACTCAGATCGTATGCTACACGTATTTATTATAACCGGGTATAGCACAAAATGTATGAATATATGTTGAAATAGAAATAAAACTGAAACAAATTGACCATTAGACAATAGCGATTGGAATATGTTGAATAAAAGAGATTTTACAGTCATGGCAGTCTTGGAAGCACGGGATAAAAAGTTCCAAACATGAACATAGCAAATTTGGTCGATTTTCTCTGTTCCACTGGCCTGGTCAATCACGAAAATAACCATTTTTTTCCTTTTTCGATTGTTCATGACAGTGACAGCACTTCATTTCCATATTTTTTCCGAAAATATTAACGTTTTTATTGATAAATTTGATTGTACTAGTCATGGGTTGGTCTTACTTCGACACTGATTTGTCAAATCTCACGGCTGATTATTCCAAGTTCAACCTATCACACCTTTAATAGAGAAGGGTGCGCGGTTCCTCCCACATTGAAACAATGATGTCAGGTTAACATTGACTAGTCTTGCTGAATTCATGAGTTTTCTTATCTTCATGACACCCTTGTTAGTTTGGAGAGTAATGCCTAGGTCACATTTGCTCTACGGCTAGGATACGGCGACCGTACACCCCTGAAATCGAGAGATACTTGTGGCGGCCGCAGAAAATCTGCGTTGGCCTCAGGGTCACCCACGGGCGTATCTCTATCTTTACAGGCCGTACGGGTCGCCGTGGGATTATAACGCAACTGTTTTCATTTTTAGGATCGCCGTAGCGATTACACACGCCGTAGCCATGCCGTAGAGTGGTTCCACGGCAACCGTACGTCGGACGTACGGTGGCCTTGCATTATATATACTCCAGGGGTGAAGCAGTAGCATCAGTCTGGCCGCATGGTCGCCGTATAGTCCCCATTCGGCCGCCTTGCGGCTACTTTGCGTCTGCCTTAGTATTTGTCAAAAAAAACCTATGGCCGCCGCAGGGACGCAGGGGCGTCCGTGCGTCATCACTTCAAAGGCCGTACTGCAGCCGCAGATTTTCTATCTCCACAAATTAAAAATACGCCGTGCCGTCACCCTAACATAATATGTGACCGCTACCGTATGTGATGATGGGAATGCTGCGATGGCCCTATACTTGCTAGTGGCCGTAGATTTTTTAGACCGCACGGCCGCCGCGGCAAGACATAACAGTCGTCAAATCCCACGGCTGATTATTCCAAGTTCAACCTATCGCACCTTTAATAGAGAAGGGTGCGCGGTTCCTCCCCCATGGAAACGTTGATGTCAGGTTAAAAGTTACTAGTCTTACTTGAATGCAGGAGTTATCTCATCTTCATGACACCCTTGGTAGTTCGAAGAGTAACAGTCGGATAAGTTGACGTTTCCTGAAGGACTTAGGGAGATGGAAACAGGAAAGTTGCGGGATCTTAAAATAATACCTCACATTTTACAGAAAACCACATGAAGTCAAATCAAAGATAGAAGGTGTCGAACATGTGGATTGTGAATTATGTACAAAAATTCAGAATTATACATGAATTCATAGAAATGATGACAAATACGCTTATTATCAGATTGTAACTACATGCATGTCTATATTATTGCGAGACATAATGTTACCCATTTATGCATACACACATCAACAATAGGCATAAACAAAACAAAACCACGATCACAAATACTTTCGAAAAGTCGACCAAGGGCAATTTCAATAGCCTTGTCCATCACCTATAGTGCAAATATTAAAATGATGTAGGATATTACGAAATCCGAACGTGTTTTGTGAAGGCAATACTACAGGGTATTGAAATTGACCGTGAGTTAATTTTCCGAAAGTCTTTCCGATCGTGCTACAATAACACCAATGGTAACTTACGAAGGAAAAGCGAATAGATTATTAAAGTTTAAACAGTAGGTAACAGTTATTGAGTTAAAACAATTGTTATTTCGTTGGCGTACTTGAGCATATAAATTACTCGTCTTTATTGTACTCTCCTATTTCAGGGGCAGGGGATAGTTCGGAAAGCTCTGAAGTATCCAGGGCAGCATACTGTGTCAGAATCAAGCAACAGTGTCCCAAGCATCGTTTACGAGGTCCCATCTGTGGGACGGACGGAAAGACGTACAGCAGCGATTGTGAGCTGGAGAAGGCCAACTGCGATGGGTCTCTGGTCCAGAGAGCATCGAAAGGAAGATGCTTTAGGATATACACACCCAGTACAACAAGTGAGAAACGGGTTAGCGGGTTGGGTTTTTGTTATTAAAGCTGCGTCCTAGTTTGTGTGAATCATTAATATGCAATCAATCGATTGTGATAAAACTGGCCTGGCAGCTCTTATGACAAAGTGATTACACTGGTACTAACTGATGTAATTGAACGCATAATTTTGGTCAATGGTTAATACAATTTAAAAAATCAAATTCAAATACACTCTATAGACCTTTTTTTAAACAGAGAAGAACAAATATATTAAGATTTTTTTTAATTTTTTTTTTATTTGGTGTATGCTATATTAAACCAATATAAAATATGTTTGTTTCATTGATAGCAAATCCTCCAACGCAAAAACCTTGTCGAAGGAGTTGTCCACACCCGTCGCTGACTGGTTCCCGACTCGTATGCGGCACGGACGGTGTTACATATCTCTCAGAATGCCATCTAGAAGTACTGAAATGCCTATTGGGTAACATGGTCCATGTCCTGTACTATGGACCTTGCAGGCGAAGAGCCTATCCCTATCCCTATCCTGCCACTACCACAACTACGACAAGGCCACCTACCACTCTGCTGTCTACGACGCGCCCTACGACAGTTGCTACGACCATCCTCCCAGCCCCGACAGAGAAGCCGATCCCGACAGCAATGTTTCCGGAAATCAATCCAGGTGAGCATTTTAGGGAACAATGATGACGGTGGGGAGTGTAAAAGGAAAGGAAGTATTTCGTAACAAATGACATAATGATAACAGATGAAGAAGAGAGTTTTATGCCAGAAAACTTCAAGGATGTAGGTACTAAATTGTCATATCAACTGTCTTAATTTTGTTTCGTCTCATTTTGGTATTATTTGTTTTCTCTTTTGTTCCTTTTATTTGTTGCCCTTCTAATTATGATGTGCGAATTAAGCACGAACTTAATACTTGTAGGGCAAAAGAAAGGCGTGTAATAACAGGAGGTCATTGTTGTCTTTGGAGTTCACTCGCTCATGGTCTTCTGTCGGAAATGATGATTATACCAGGGTTGATCTCTTCAAGTCGTTGTTGGGCTTATGCTGTTACTTTATAATATTGTTATGTAATCAACCTTACCCCTAAAGTAAATTGATTTTCACATCTCGTTTTCCAAGAAATTACACTACATCTTTGCTTTAACCTTCGTTTAATTCAAAGAAACTTGGGAATGGCATCACGAAATAAACAGCTATCTCATGCATACCTTTTAATCGGGTTACCTGTGATTCTTTGCGGCGAAGATGGCTCTCTACCTGGCAATCACGCCCATCATTTCGGCGTAAAGTATTTTGAAGTTGACGATGTACTTCCTTGGTTAGGACGTCCTTATTTCCCTGGCAAGTAGTGGTCAACATGGTCAACATGGTCAATGATGGAACGGAATAAACATTATGACCATCGCCCTTTTTTCATAGTATCAAATCCAAAGAGGAATGAGGCATACAGTCCAATGCGACCTATTTAATGTTTAACAAATTATAATAAGAAACTAATGATTTATTTTCGTCTTCTCTCTTCAATATTCGATATTTTTTTACATCGAAGAATTGGTTTAGCATTACAACAAACAACGATTGATTATAAACGCATATGCGAATGACTTGTATAGCTTTGATCAACACGTATGATAGGATTCCGCCCCACAAAAATTGCACATAGTTTTAGGAGACAGTTGAATTCCATATTCTTTTCACATAATTAATTTATTAAAAAGTGGAGTCTAGCTATTTGGAAATTGTATTATTTCATAATATAACACTTTGCTACTGTCAATGTCCACGATTCACGAGGGGATGATGATATTTCGTTCATTTAAAATTAGACCTCATTGAAGAAGTATTTTGATGGTTATGCCAGTCAAGACCAAGACAATCACTGATGTGTTCAAATACAGTCTGTGCCGCTACTGGTAAAGATGAATCACGTCTTCTCATCTATCACGGTTCAAGTACGGGACATTTTAAAAAGATGACACACAAAGGAGGTATAAACGAAGACCACATGGCTCTTTCTATGTACCATGAAACCGTAATGAGGGGATGACAAGCTTGTTTACAAGTCTTTATCATCACCTCTCACTTTGCAAAATGCATCATATGATAATCATGATAAAAGAGTATTATTATGCATGTGTTAGAGCGGGTTTCTCTACCGAAGACCTCTGCTCATTCGCGAAAATGACGCTCTTCAGAGGTGTCAAACTAATATTCTTTACAAAATGAATTATGGCATACCTTAGAGGGTCTGGGCGTTTAGGCTAGCTGTAACTTATCCTGTATTCGTCATCATCACAACTAATCCCTCGCCAAATATGATGACGTCAAATCATTTCATGCCCGATGAATATTGGAATAAAAAATCAAATGAGGTAAACAACTACCTGGGAAATCCCTGGTATTTGAGCAAGGCCTATCTAACGATTTATGCCTGGAATCCTTAATATAAGCTTGAAATTGGTGATCAAGATTCCAATATTCTTATAATTATCCGCTTTACATATTAGTAAAGTAACCATTATTAAAAGAGGACATGAGGCAGATAATACTAAGGATTTTTTTTAATTGAAATAAAAACAAAATAAAACGAGTATATTACTGTCAGAACAAACACATTTCTTGATTAAGACGATGCTCCGAAGAAACGGTTGTTCGTCTCTTTAATACGATACCCATCTGATGTTGTTCTATCAAGGGCATACGTTGATTCATCAGTCTCATCATGATAGCATTAGCCATGAATCATCATCCTCCCAAAGGCCACCGGTCTCTGATATTCATCTCGTTGAAAAGCACCGACAGAACATGAAAGGCGTGGCCCGTATCCAACTACGACTGACACTATGGAGTCTAGACAAAAAGGGGCTAGATTTTTCGTTTAGAGCATGTTTTAGTTAGATTTTCCATTACCGCTCTCACCGGCATTAGATGATAACACTATTTTGTGTTGTTATTATGTAAGGAACATGACTGTCAGTAGCTTAGTAAAATATCAAAACTCAAAAGTCACATATACTGATGAGATTCTATGGCTTGTAAATATACTTGGTAGGGAAGTTAATAACCAACACACCTACCGATGATGTACCTGACGTTATCTCGTTTTCCTTTCTATTTCTGTATAATGTTGTATTTCTGAAAAAAAATTAATTTGTAGTTTACCATTAGCCTAATAACACTGTTGGGAGGGGCTACCTATTCCTGGTATACCTTTCGCTCCGCCACTTGATTAATTGCGGCTGTAGACACGGTCGGGTTTCAATGTTATCCGGAGACAGCATTCACTAAGCCCCGTCAATACAGACCGTCTTTTCATAGTCAGTCACCAAAGCTAAATCGAATGGATTGGCTTTCTCACCTTAATCCCGAACACGTTTCATTGATCTGCGCTACATGTAAGAGAGACTTGATGAAAAACCAAACTCCCCTTTCAGGCTTACTCCATACCGTCGTGCAAAAGGGAACTACAAATCTGTTATGAGGAACTTTTGTTGTTCTTCTGAAGTATGACTTTCATATAAGGCACTGAGACATCTCGGGTTGAAATTCCTTTTAAGGATAACATAATAACCTTCACTTCAAATACACAACTGGTGCTACTTTGTTATCAGATCTCGTGGAATTAGTAAGGAGTAATGGTTTTATGAAATTCATTTCGAGGAAAAAGAATAACCGTTACTTAAAACACACACACACACTCCTGTTACCTTTACATTTTATCCGTTCTCTTGTAATGAGTAACGAAAAAGGTCTTATCTCTCCATCGGTCCCCATAAAGTGGTATTGGTTAAGAGACACTTGCCCTCGATTCATTCACGACCATTACGTCTTAGCAAATTGCTCCTGACGTACAGATGATCCTTTTGGCCTCTCTTAAATGAGACAAGCAGACGATGTTCAATTTCTATTACGTCTATGGTTCAATTTACAAATACTACTGCTCCAGACATAATGGCTAAAGATGCTGTCACGCCATAGAATAGATCAAGGCGCCACACCGTATATTTTAACCAAAAATGAAGAGTTGAATCCGGATATACCACAACCAAGAACCATTTCACTAAAAATGTTGTATTCAATCCACATTTTCATCCGTATACTCGACTCTTTCATTAAAAGTTATCATTTTCATCATAAGTTACTATTTTATTTAAATATTTCATGTCTGAATGCAAGCTAAAAACATGTCATTGTGACACATCTACCACCTAGCAAGTCGGGTGGGCGTGTAATCTATAAGTGCGGGGTTGCTCTTTTATAAATGTCACTTAACTTGATGGCTTGTTTTGACTTGATACAGAGCTATATATGTTTATAATATCTGTGAAACAGTTTGTCCATATGAAATCAATATCATTGAAACATTTTTCCATTATATTCATTGTTCTATCAAAACTAAAAAGAAAGAAAAGATAAATCTTCAATCCACCAAGCTGTGAAAAAAGACAACCTGTTAAAATGTGCTCACTGTTCTAACAAAGGAGAACGTGTTTCGCCTGATTATTAACGGTACGAAGAAGAACATCCTCTCTTTAGTCACTTAACTATATCACATTATACGATAAAGGTCATACGAAATTGATGACGGGAAACTTAATTTGAAAACAAGGGCGAAAGTCGTGACGATACTGTCAAGGCATCCTTGTTTCAATTAAGGTGAAGAGAGCACTCTCTAATGATTTCAATTCAAGAAGAATCTTCCCAGGGTCCACCCTTTATAATTCTTCCAGGCATGCCGATAATATGAGGAAATGTTACGTACTTATCCTATTTCCATGGGCACCAAAGCAGGCTTTGAAGCAACACCTCAAGCGCGAAAAGCAAGAAAACCGAGATGACAGATAGCCGTTAAATGGCCTCCTGCCGTCCAAATGCATGCCATGTCCACACACTGATTCATTTAAATGAATCACCTGCTAGATTTCTCATCGTGAAGGCAATTAACAGGTTTCACCAAATCCTCGATCATCGTTTTTTTTTTAAAGCAAGAAAAAATTCCTTTTCCGTATCTCTTCTTTTCCAGTTTTTGTCTCAACAATATTGTTTAAAAGCGTTGTCAGTTAGCCAACCTTACACATTATGTATTGAACAAAGAACTCAAACATTGTAGGACTTTCACGAACAAGTATGCAGTGTGGTTCGCCTCTGATTGGGTTGATCTTCAGCCTGGAGTTGACTTTAAAGGTACTATGTCCCTTTTGCAGCCAACCTCAAATTCTGTAGAACTTTGCAGGAATTATTAATATGTCATGTATATCCTATCTGTGAAATTTAAACATTACCAGTGTCCTCATATTCAAATTATGCAAGGAAACCCGTTAACTTGCTAGACTTCACTGTCAGACACTATTGAGTGACTGACTGGCTTTTTTCTTCTTTGGTAATAACATACATGAAAAGGGTTGTAAAGGGTACATGAGCATTTGTCTACATCAATAACCCATTTCTTGTGATGGCCAAGATTAAACTGATTGAAGCTTTGCGCAGCATAAAACGTATGACCATTCGGTACAATTGTCTGAAAATCAAGACTATTACTTTTGGGCTCTATAGCCCTAAAGTCGATTTGACAACTAACAGTCGTTATTTTCCCACTTGAAGACATTTTCAAGCCCCACCTTTTTTAGGGAAGTTCTAAATTAGTATTATCTTTCAAATGCAGTTGGAATTTAACCTTTTCATTTTTTTGGCCTGCAAATGGGACCTTTAATACATGTACCTTCCTTACTTATAGACTAAAATCCATTGGAAATCATGGACAGAACAATCTGGAAAATCTATCTGGTGATACTATGGTTGTTATACTTTTGTGTCTTTTCCCTTTTTTTAATGATTGTGTCTTTGTCTTATAGCAGTCCAATTTAACATCTCTAATTAGCATAATGATTTTTGTCCTATGAAACCAGGAAACTGTTCCGATATGCCGAATTCCCGATGAAAGATTTCTTCATTCCGTGCAATACTCCTGCTTAGACACAGGTGGTACAGAGTGGCTATAAATTTCCAGATGACCTTAAGCCATTGTTTTACCCCGAATATCTCTATCGATTTTGCTTCTAATTTGAAGCTGATGATCCTTATTCAGATGGTGGTCCCTGCCCGAATGCCTGCCCAGACAACAAGTGGAAACCTGTTTGCGGGACGGACGGAAAGACATACGAGACATTGTGTCACCTACGGTACGAGGCCTGCATGCCAGGAACACCCGACGTATCACTGGCCCACATAGGAGAATGTGCCGGAGATGGTAAGTGGACAACTTATATTTTCGTTTCAGAAGGAAGAAAAAAGCTCCATAACAGTTAATCTAGTCTCTATATCATCAAACCAAAATACGAAAATTGGCGAAAAAAACCGTAAGATATTTCATTACCTTGAAAAGAGTTCGAGGTATATCATTTTATGCCATGTAATGATAGCAAGTACTGTTACCTAGACAATTTTATCGGAAGAGAAAATTATTTTGGTGCAGAGTACAATGCATCATTACTTATCTAGCAATAACTAGTTGAATATTAATTTTAAAGAATCAAATTTTCATTCTTTTATCTTGAATATTTTCGGAAATGTGCGAGAATAAATTGCTCTCCACAAAACCTCCGATTCTGTTTTTTAATCGTTCATGAGCACGTGACTGAAAATCTGAAACTCATCTAATCTCGACTATCTACAAGTGTTGTGAAACGTGACTAAATTAAAGAAAGAAGAAAATATGACGGGCAGGGGGTGAAAAGAGTAGTTAATGTCAAAAGAGGACATGATTCAACCATTTGTGTTTTATCATTCAGATGGTTGCACAGGTGGAAAGCCACATCCTACTACAGTTGGTCGAAACTGTTGGATAAATTAAGAACAAAATGGACGTCTGTTGAACGTTTAGTCACGAGAGCAATCATTATAGGCCCAGGGGTCATCGCATGGTTAAAAAGGGCTGGCACAACCACCCTGGACAACTACCTCAGGACATCTGCGCCTGAGGGAAATAAGCCCGTGGACAACTAACCCCTCCTAGAACAATTGCCAGGCTCATTGTAACCTACTCCCAGACAACTATCTCGTAATTTGAATTTAATACCGCATTGTTTAAAAGATTAAATGAAACGAATTTAGATTACATTACCAAGAGCTTTCCTGGCTGTTGTTTGTTTCTTACACAAAGGCTCACATACTCTCTCTTTCTCTATCTATTTTTTCTCTTACATCGACATCTAGATTGCGCAATTTCATGTGATGGGTTTGGCTACACCCCTTGTTGTGGAACAGACGGCATAACATACTACAACAAGTGCGAGCTAGAAAGATATGCTTGTTTCACCAATACACCCAAAACAAAGCTATACGTAGAGCATCCAGGTGCATGTGTAGCACCTTCACCAGGTAAGAACACACAAGAGATCATGTAATACCAAATAGTCCAACTTCATCTTGCCTAAAGCACAACAGTACCTGTGCAATGCAGAGCTTATCATAAAAAACCTCTTAACATTTTGCATCATTGATAACAAGCCCAACCATCTTAACATTTCAGTAAACAAATAACCACGTCAGTGCAAAACCCAATGCCAATGCATGACCCTCTCCGTACTACTGATTAAAATAGTAAACTTAACCAGGGAGATGCCTTGCCTTAACCCTCCAATCATGAATATAACGTATACGTAGATCCTAACGTAATATCGAGAAAGGCATGTGTAAGATTTTTACAGGAAATCGTAGTAATAGTCCAAACACTCAGTAGGTACCGTGCCAGGGTGACATACGATACGCTATCATAAGGTTCGTTCATATGCATCGGATGATGTCAAGTGCTTTTTCACATTCTCTTAAAATATGGAAGGTCCTTCTTTGATAGCCCTACAGAAGAATTGGAGACACGAAAATGATGCCATGCATGATACGCTCATGGTCGTGCCAATGTAGAGATTTCTAATTTAATGTTCCGTTTTCCCCATATTTTCCAGGATGTCCATCTGCATGTCCTGCGCCTGATGATAATGACGTTTGTGGATCCGATGGAAACACTTACCCATCCCTGTGCCATCTCAACAGACAAGCGTGTTTAGACAGCAGCACTCTCAATATAGATCATCCAGGGGCCTGCGCCATAGCCACCATAGGTAATATTCTTTAATAATCACGGTCATTTTTTAATTAATTTCATATGATCTATTCTTATATTTTAATTGTTTGTTTGGTATCTTGTTACAAAAGCTCTTTAATGAACCGAAACCTTCTTTCAGTTTTCTTCCATCCGTTCTCCATAATTCCACTTAAGTCTCTCTACTTCTGCTTAGGTCGCTCAGCCGGCCTCCTTTCCATATCTTTACCAGGATCATAACCGATCTCCTTCCGTCTATCGGAACACCCCTGTTTCTCTACAATACACACTAATGTTCTTCAAATTCAATTAACAACCGGCACTGCAGTAGTTTAGTATTGAGTTAAAAGAGCAGTTTACGGTAAAGAGTGTTCCTGTTGTTGCAAAAAGACACTGTAAGCTTACCATATCTTGTCGCTTTTCCTTCATACCTAGGGCAGGGTGTGGGGGTATCTGGTTAGCAAAGGACCTGTCTCCACCCAAAGCCTGCCTCATGTTTACGGCATGTGCGGCTTTCATGTTAATCTGTTTCACTCAGGCGCATCAACTTAATATCCTCCCCACCCAAATTGTTGTTTTCGTGGCAATTAAGCAAATTGCGCGCGTACTAATGAAGACTGATGGTGATGCTGTTATATTCCGATATCTTCTGACGTACCGCAGAACGAGGTGTCAGAGAAACCCCAGTGCCTGGTTGCATTAGCACCATTTACACTTAATAAACCATTTAGCTCGTTTAGTTTGTGTAGAGAAAGTAAATGAGGAAATGACCGATTACTTACCCCCTGCTTCCGTTTAAAGGAATAGTGATGACCCATCTGCTGAGGTGAAATGATGGGCACTCTTTGTGGATTAGTACATGTTGAAGTGTGAATGATATTTAAGGACCAGACAGGCTTATCGTTTTGAATAAAACGAAGCATGTTTCAAAACTTGGATTATGGATTTAAATCCATTTGGAATGTTAAATATTAACAGTCTAATAAACATTTTAACAAGGAAAACTTAACCTTGTTTTTTGTGAAAAGCAGCAAATTAATGTATTGCTATGTTGTGGATAACTAGTAATACCATCGTCACACATTAACAGCCGAGTACGACAGGGACATAAAAGGCTTATCAAAATTCTTCTACATTGCACCTGATTTAATGGAATTTTGACATTGGAGGATTAGCAAGGTTGCACTGACAAATGCAGTAAATTCATAGGACCGAGCACGGTTGAATTTTTCACATTGTCAACAGAATTGTGTGCAGCATTTGATATCCCATTGCTCATTCAGTTCCTTCCGGCACTGTGCAGAGTAATTAAAACACGATCACGTGCTGGGAAAAACATGAGTGAAATTAAATGTTGTTGTTGGCTTAGCCTTAAATCAGAATATTCCACCAGGCCATCAAACACACACATACGCACACACGCACACACATATCGCGTGCAATTAACCTACATTGTACAAACAATGTATTGTCTCAGAAAGTATCTTTATAATGATAACATTCCGCCTTAAAGTTTTGGCTGTTACAGTTTTAACACTTTCGTTTACCCTAATAGAATTATGAAATTTTTATGTCACTTCACTTGTTCTTTTTCGATTTTTTCTTTTTTGTACAAGATTTTTTTGGAATTTCAAGTTGCATAATAGGCATGAGTAATATAATTAGTGGTCATAACCACAAATACCTATGAAGACACTTTGAATGACACATGTTTCTAACCACAGGATTCAACTCATGAAATCTGTTCATATAACCCACCAATCCCTAAAATATCCCCTAATATTTTACGGATATGCTACCGATAGCGGCAGATATGAAGTTGTAACACCAAATTATGTATTTTTCTGTCATTTTTTCGCCACTTTTGTTCTATTTTAGATCCATGCAAGCAGAATTGTCCATATCTTTACTCGCCAGTCTGTGGTTCAGATGGGACGACGTACTTGAACCAATGCTTCTTCGATGTGGCAAAGTGTCGATCACCTGGTCTTCTAGGAGTCTCGGGTTCATGCGGACTTAGGATATCATGATCCCCTACTTAAAAGGTATAACTTAATACTTTTTCGTTCGTACCCTACTGAACTTGAAACTGAACGCTGGGTGCGAATTCTGTCAAAAGTAGAAAGAAGATAACAAAATAACAAAAAAAGTAATTACTTTGCTAGAATCGTGTGTTTAGTCATTACCAAAGGTAAAGAAACCAAATGCTAAACATGAAGATACTTTACACTGGACGAATTTTACGAGTTGTATATCATTATCCTTATCATCACTATGCCAATCATCTTGCTCAAAGCAACATATCAAAATCGATTTAGCAACATCATCTTTCTGTATATATAAAGTATGCATCAAATACAAAGGGATGGAAATCAAATTTTGGTGTAGACAGAATATTTGTGACACGTGTCCAGGCACTGATTTATCTGGGGAAATATTTGTCACGGAAGCTGAAAGTGAAAGCCCCTGAAGAAGGCTATTAGGGGTGCAGATTGACAAAGTTCATCATAATTTGATAACAGAACAAAAGGGTGCGCAAACGTCAGGAAGTTACTGAATTTTAAACCTAATTGGACTCATAAATTCGTTTTGTTGTTGATAATAAAGGTATTCCACTGGCCTTGTTATTTAGTACGCGAAGGTGTAGTTGAAAGTGGGTTCAAAACAGTGTTTTAAGGAGGGGGGGGGGGGGGGCAAAGCAAAAACGACAAAACAAACAGAGATGCGTGCTTTTGTAATGGATAATTGAGATAAGCTACATATTACTCATAATTTAGAAATGTTCTACATTTATCAATTATTTTAAACATTGGGATGAAAAATTATGAACAGAATAAAGCTACAACCAAAAATTTGATGTCCATAACATTTGCACAATGCAGTCCTTATCACGTGACCAATGACATTTAGGCAGTGCAAAAGATGTTTGACCGCCTCTGCTTCATGTCAGACTTCATTCCCATGTTGTTTGTTTGGTTATAAAATTATTTAGACACGTCCCAGACTTCCATGGAGTGGATGTCATAATGTTTAGGATAATTCAATTTTGTTATCACTTCATCAAAAAGATGTCTGTCGGGGAAGCCATCAATTCAAGAGATTATAATATCTATGCCATATCGGAGATAAGGCATGATAGATGCTTCCGACAACGGGAATAATCCATCATGGATCAGAGGAAATCCTTTATAATTTTCTTGAGTGGAAAATGTACATTAATTGATATATATTTCATTACAAATTCATGAATCATACCGAAATCCAGATATAAGACTATAATACTTCAGAAAAGACCAGTAGGTTATCTTAGTTTGTTCTAAAGATGGGAGAATACATTCACAGTTTTCATGCCTAAGCGACTTCTTCACATCCTGGCAAAATGGAAATAGAAAATTAATATTGAATAATATTCTTCAAATAAAATGACTATTTCCACCAAGGGGTTCCAGGTTAAAATATTATTAACTAAAGAAGAAATGTATGATCAAATGAAAGCAACATGTCTAAACATTCCAAAACACTTTAGGCAGTACAAACACGTGCACATTGTTTACATTTTCATCTGCCCCCACCCTCTACATGTATCTCATTTTATTTATCCCTGCTTATTGCTTGACACGTTCGACTAGACCTCGGGCGTCCTCCTTAAATTACAAGCCCCCAAACCCGGACGTGCGTCAAAGTTGAGGCTGGATTGTTAACGACCCGTTTCCCTCCCCAGGGACCTTCATGGATCCCCATTAACCACAACAAATCTTCAGATATCACTTAGAATTAATTATCATTGATGTATCCTCCTTTAATGCCTTTAAAGAGCATGTTGGGAATCATGAATTCCTACCGGGGCGCCCTCTAACATTGCGTTGCTTCATGATATGATGATGCGCATGCCCATTATCCTCGTCATATATGTAGTTGAAATACATTTCTGGCATTTGATTCCTAACTTAGTTTGGAAATGTGAGAAAGAATATTAATCCGAGAGTATTTTATTTAACATATTGTTTATGATATTTGTTTTATACTGTTTCTTTATACTAATGTTACTTCCAGTTATAGGTAAACTTTATCATGAATCCAAATTTTTCATTTTTTTGTGGTTTCAATATTTATCAAATTTCCTCCTCTTCCTTCAATTTACTCATCTGCAGGTAGATCCAGGATATATCTTCGTCATATTTATTGAGCAGAAAAACCAAAAAACTGAAGAAAAATGAGAAAAAAATATATAGTAAAGTGAAAGCAGTAAGACAATTAAATATCCTACAGAGGAACTTAGGCCAAAAACGAAGCAGTCTACGCGTTCTTCATTTACGTTTTCATCAGGTAGACGCTTATAAAAGTATTGATACTTTGTTGAACTCAGATTACAATGGATTATATAACAACCAAATCTTAATATAAACACTTCAGTTTCTGGTGCTTAAAGGTAAAGACCAGTTATGGTCATGCGATTGCATTGTGAAAGAAACGTTGTGGAATCGATCAGAAAAGGTTGATCATCTAGCATCTAGCATCTGCAAGGTTCTGGAATCATCAAAATGATAAGAACTTTGGCCCATTCTTCGTAAAGTTACAAGCACTATACACAGAAAGATGTATATGGGACTACCCTATATCTCTCACAGACCATGAGAGAAACAAATTTACCAAATATATGAATTAGTAGGCGGTTTCCCGGCAAATTTGTTATCATCGTGTATTAGTCAAAACATATTCTTTCACATGATTGGTAATGAGAGCTTCCATTTCATTTTTTTGAAATTGGGGCGTTTCCAATACTGGCCTTTACCTTTAAGGAATTTAAGCTTACGGGTTGCCCATATTACCTGTAACAAGTAAAGTATGCAACTAAATACAACGCACATATTTCTAGACTATGTAACAATGGTAGACTAGCTTTTTATTGATTTCTGCCATATGCATCGCCACATTGGGAAGGATGTGGGTCAAATGGTTAGCGTGTTTCTCTTAATACGAGAAATTTCTTCCGAGAACGGTAACATAAAAGCCTGTAGCTTATAAATATAGATTAAAACAATGATTTACTGGGGGCATTCCAAAAAGTATAATTCTGTAGAGATCATGAAATGAAAATGTCTTTCCTGTACCCAAAAGGTACAGTATCCCAAGGGTCGTTAAAACCTAAGACTCCGCACTTCAAATTATTATGTTCCAGAAATACCCAGGGTCTTCCTTTCTCAGAAAGCGGGTTGTAAAAGAAATACCCATTTTCATGCAAATAAACTTTCGGAGTAGTGATTCTTTGAATATTGGCAATCGTTTAAATTGTTAACAATTATTTCTTGAAAAATATTTTTGTTTATAAATATCTTAAATTAATGATGTTATCTTAAATGTTATCTTAAATGTTATATTTATGATATCGTTAAACCTACCAACTTTTAGAGACTGTTGTATACTGTTTTCCCGAATGGATGCAGGATCGTCCTCATACGGATACACATTATCTCCTTGTTATTCAAAAAATCATGGCAATTTACTTTGGTATGTGAGTTAAATGTCAATAATCATGTATATGTAATATAATGATTTAATTTTAGACGTCATGTCAACTCGGTGGATATACATAGATGTCCTTTGCCGTAGTTTGTACTGAAGAAAATCAATTGAAGATTGTTTTTGTTCTTGAAATCATCATCATCATTATCTATCGCTCATCGCAGATTGAAATCAAAATTAAGCATCATTATACAGTGGGCTTATGAAAAAATTAAAAAACAAATATTGAAGGTTTACACCCCAAAACACTGTTGCTGCAGTTTGAAGGGATGGATACAGTGAATTTCGAGATTTACTGATTTAACTTGTTTAAGTACCCCTATGTGATTAAGCTATGATTATGCTAAAACTAATCGCTCTTTTAAATGTAGGTGTACACGTATGTCAATAGTTTCTTTATAAATGTATACTGAATGCAGATGTTGGTGTTACACTGTCGTTCTGGAATGTGGGCGATTTCTTAAAATTAAACGTACCTCCTTCGGATATGTATTTTGTCTCGTCTTCGATAAAATATACCCCCAAAATTTGACGCATTTATTATCGTTCGGAATATTGTTTTGATAAACGAACATATGAATGACTTCATTCGATATTGAACAAGATTGTATGATTCTGTTTTTGTGTATTTATAAACAATTCAATCGTGTGTGTTGGCGTGTGCGTATGTATGTGTGTTCATCCTGACAATATGTATTTAGGACTCTGTGGTATTATAAATGTTTCCTTGTCAGATTGTATTTACACTATATTGTAAATCCATTCATGAAACTTGTTGTACGTTGTTAGCAAAAGGAAGTTATATTGGAATATATGTTATAAGGGGGAAACACGCATTTTGGGCATGATCAGGATTAAAAGATAGGTAGTAGTTGTCCTGTCAAGATAATGGACTGTATTCATTGTATTATCATGTTTTTTTTATGAAATATAACACACGTCATAATAAGGGGCGTTATTATGCCAATAGACAATGTACACAGGTTTGGAAATATCGTCAACCTGGGATGTAACGTGACTTTTGAATGTATTATCATGGTCATGCAGTTTTGTATTTTATGGCTGTAAATATTCGTTTTGATAAACTATACATGTATTGATGAATTTTAGTGGTCATGTTGACTAGTACCTTATTATAAGCATATCCTTTGCAAATACTCGATGTTGTTGTTGGAAGCTGCTTATTGTGGAATGAGAATAAAACCAGAAAGAAAGATATCAGTGCTCTATGAAACAGTCATCTATTCTTGCTTTGAACGGACGGAGGAGGAGAGGGCAGGAGAACGAGAGGGAGAGAGTGAGAGAGAAATAGGGGAAAGTGAAGGAGAGGAAAGGGAAGGGAAGAGATGGAGAGGGGAGAGATAAAACAGACTTTAATACGAGTCCAACTATTCCCATACTACTGACTTGTTTTATGGAATTGTCAAGTGAACATAATATCGGCTGAGAAAGGGTGTGCAGAGAGAAAGAGAGATCGAAAGAGAGAGAGAGAGAGAGAGAGAGAGAGAGAGAAAGAGAGAAAAGGATAGGACGGGGAACTATGGAGAGGGGAGAGATAGAAAGAACGAAAGAACGAAAGAAAAGGACAGAGACAGAGGAAAGGGTGACAGAGAAACGGAGAGAGGATGGAGGGATCAGTATTATTGTACCTTTTCCAATAAAAAACAAAACAACTATGTTACGCAAAGGAGATTTATAATGTCATTGAAAGTCAAAGTATGTCCCCTAAATTACCAAATACTACTGAATTGCCTTATAGATATTTGGAGTGAACATAAACTGACATGAAATATCATCACTTTTGTTTGAATGAATTAAGTTATAGAAGGGCTATCGGCACATAACCAATGAGAGATGGGCTATTAATCACCAGTGTGCCTTTTCATTGAGGGATAAACTGAAGAGAAGTTACGATGGTATGACAAATAAATTTAAAATAAAACGATAAACAATCAAAAAATCATCATCTTGGTGACATTTTACATGCGATGCCATGTTATTCTGTTTCGTGAACAAATTTGACGATATCTCTAATAAACGTACAAAAGGTATTACCATGTTTACATGTGAAAAAGTGAAATCATCTGTCACAAGATGGCGCTATTGCAAAAGATACATTTATCACCATCAACGTCATAGAATAATGTATTTAGATAAAAGCCTGTTTGTTTCTTTGTTTGCTTGAATTTATTTCTGCATTTTTCTACATAATAAGAAGCTATATACAAATTTGATATTATAAACAAAATTCGAGGTCATATCATAATATCAATCACTTAAATAATCATACCTTTAAAAAAAACATCGTTGACAAATCATTTCAAAATGAAAAAATGAAGGAGACTACAACCTTATTAAAGCTAGAGCTTGAACGTGATGGCGGCCTTAGGAAAGGAATTTAGATGTTCACGAAAGATTTACAATCCGCTCTCACCGATCCATGGGCATGCAAGCTATGCATCGCTACAATATTTATAAGTGGGGGAGGGGCGTCTGATCATATATTTCCAGTGCCCCTGCAATTTGAAGTAAAATCTATACGTTCCTAACTTGAAATTGCTTGTAGTGGTACTTTAGATGGAGAGCTGGGGCTGGTTCTCTTCTTAGCCATTTTCAATGAGTCTTTATGTTCAGTCAAAAACTACTCTAAAGGCCCGGTCACACAGCCCTCCACGGGCGTATCGCGGCCGAATCACGGCCAAAAATTTCTGCCCGTGAAGCAGACGCTGTTGGACGCTTTGAGGTCGCGATAAAGACGCGATACAGCCGTACTTTACCCGTCGTTACACGCGGTAAGAAATTCACACGCGGTTGGCCGCGCGAAAAAGTTTTGGGCTGCCCAAAAATTTAGACCGCGGGTAATCGCGGGCGGTACACGTGGTACACACGCGGTACACACGCGGTAAAGACGCGGTACAGACGCGGAACGAACGTGCTAGGACGTGCTACGGCCGCGGTTAAGACGTGGTTACTCGCGGAATTGGACGCGAAATTTTAGCGGGTAATCGCGGGTGGAGCACGGTCATAGCACGTTTGTTCCGCGTCTGTACCGCGTTGTTATCACGTGCATTAGCGTGTGTACCGCGTGTAAGCGTGGTAGGCCGCGGTACCGCCGCGCTTCACCCGCGATAAGGACGCGGAACAGTCGCCGGCGTCTGTTCCGCGGGCATACCACGGGTAAACCGCGGGTAAGCCAATTTTGCACATTTTCCACCACGGGCAACCGCGGGCAAAAAAAAAAATCGCGAAATTTTACCCGCGATACAGACGCGAAAGGCTGTGTGATGTATAAGCGATCGATCCGGTAAATGGGTGCATTACACTCCCTATCAAATAAATGCAACTAAGATTTGAAATCCTTAATGCGAAGAGCGCGATCACCATTTGAAATTAGAGATCGGAATGCCGGTCGTTCATTGGCAAGAATAAAACCTAATTGACATTCTGCAAATCGATTAGTTCAGCCTTTGTGTTATACGTCATGATCACAGAGATACGACTGACGAGCGTGGCAATGGTTGGGTATTGATACAAGCTAGAGGGCGTGCACATTTTTTTACACTTAATTCCATCAACCCCCTCAGGATATCAGTTTTTTTTTTAAAGGATTCACTATTCCATTTCGCTGAAATAATATGTTAGAAATTCTACAGAGAGGAACATAATTTGGGTCGTTTTTACCATCCCCTTGAGTTATCTGTATTGACAGTGTAAAGGCCATGAAGCTAGGAATATCGGCGAAATAAAATGAAGACTTGCGACTATTCTGCTTACGATGTAGCTGTAAAAGTACTTTTTAAAAAGGTGCAGGAATTCTAAAAATAATGGATGAAAGACGATATAATGAATGAATGTAATAACGTATTTACGGTAGCAACAACATTAATCTAGAAACGGAAATAATGCAAAATGAGGCCGCGGTCGTTGGTGGAGAGTCAAAGGGCGCAGATAAAGGCGCCT